GAATAACTATCCATCGTTGCATCCTCTCGCACCGGTTGGCGGGCCTGAGTGGCCATGTTTGACTCTGAGGCTGGGTAGTGGGGCCTCCACTTTCCCCGACTGATTGTCGCAGGTAAGAGCCGAGACACGTTTACAAGCGAGGTACCCAGAAGCCGTATTGTTTTTGCTCCTCATTCTCACTGGAGGTCAGGTGTTGCCGAGTGCGCGAGTGAGAATTAGTGATCGGAGCCCCAACTGTGGTAACCGGAGGGAATTAGGTTTGGTCGGATGCCGGCGGTAGGTAGGCTGTGCAAGTCTCTCTATCGGGAAAAAATAACCCCCTTCGGCTATAGGGGCGGAACAACGTCTGAAGATGCAGGTGTCGTTGCCAGATTGGGGTTTCCGGGGAGAACTCGGAAGCTTAGTTTTTGGTTACTAATTTTTTGGAACCTTCGAAAAACTCCGAAAATCCCGTATCTTGGCCGGAGAAGCTAGGATAGGATACTGGTATTGGTCTCGACATGCGCAGTCTCCTTCACAGACATGACTACTATTAGCACGCAATATCAGCCCCTTGGCTTTTGGCTGGAATGCTATCCCGGGGATGGAGGGAAGGAGCCCTTAGGAAGGGGAACCGGGAACAGAACCTGTTGAGGTTTAAAATATATGTTATCTTGGTTTCGGTCCCTATTTTGACCTTAGGGCTATTATTGCCCGAGGCTGAACAGATTCAGTCGGCCGGATGTGAAACATGAAAACCACGAGCTGAATGAATGGGTAGTATGCAGGAGAGCCTTGTCTAGGGTCTTAAAAAGAAGTCTAAGCATTGGGATGGGGGCCGGGTCCTATTGAAAGGAAGGAAACAAGCGCACATCCAGACTGCGCTATTTTGTTTGTCAGATTTGACTGGCAAGTGTAAGTTGTCGCGGTGGAGCCGTGACACGGCATACAGGACCGGTAGTTCAGCGGTAGGTTGAGTACCGTACGTCGTGGGCAAATATTATGCGTGACGCAGTGTCACAACGTGACATATCCCCGACTGGATTTTCCTCACCCTTGATGAAACTAAAAACGAACGAACGACCAGAAAGAGAGACTTTAACAACACGCGGCTCACCCCCCTCTCTCAAGAATCCCTAGACATTTGAAAAAAAAAAGGGGGGGGGGGAAGGGGGGGGGAAGGGGGAGGAAAACTAGTTCCGGAGTGATTAATAAGACACCGGGGACCGATTTATGATCTCAGCTTTCTAATAAATAAATAAATAAATAAATAAATAAATAAATTCCCCTGTTTTATTGATATTTCTGGGTTTACTACAGTACTGCTTTGAGCGTGTCCGGGGTATCAATCCCACTACGAGTAAGCAATCTACGCCCAGGGTTTTCCCAGCTATTCAGCGCGGCTAATGGCTTGGGGCTGATACGAGGTCTTTTACCAAAGGTAGTACTGCACATAGGGGGGGCCTCACTGTGGCGTGCCCCTGTAGGTTATCATATGGAGGGCGTCGACCGGTACGGTACGCGATTTGTCACGCTTGAACTAACTCACTCCACCTCTCGGAAATATTCTGTCTGGGAAGCGCCGGTTGATAATGGATGATAGATAGATACGGACTGAGGGATGATGGAGCTGTGTACACGTAGGAAATAATCTCCACCAGGAATTGGAAATCCTAACGGTGTCTCTGAGCGTCACGGGTACGCTTTCCAATTTTCTTGCGCTGGTGATAATTGTCCGGTGTCTGGATATTCCAATATTGTGAAGGATGGAAGCTGGAATAGGGTTATTTCCGTGGAGATGCGAGTTGGTTTCTTTCTTTCTTTCTTTACTTTGGAGCATTTGTTCTAACGATGATGTCTTTGAAAATCCGCAATCACTACATATCACTCGTCTCATAGGATTATGATGGAAAATGTATGTTACGTCCCGCTTGTTGAGGAATTCACTTGGTCGAGTAGGTGTCCCCTTCACAGAGCATGCCCAACTCGACACTGGCATGTCCCGGGAAACCTTTAGGCGGCTATCTATCTATCATAGTCACCAAGTAATGCTCCTTTGTATCTGTTCGTTTCCTCCTCCTCTGTTCAATTGTCCGCAGTTCAATTTACACGCTATACTTACAGTAAAGTAGCCCCTTCCCCTGCGGCGGGATTGTACTTGCGTTTGTGCTTTATTTCGCGTGCTCCTTCTCGTTCCGAAAGAGATAACCATGGTAATCCTACGGCTGAGTACTCGATCGCGGTAGTGAGCCGAAATCCATTTACCACTTGGGTATCCCGGGTCAATGGGATATACCCTCTTCGCCGAGTATGCTGCCCGACAGCGAGGGTGCAACAAATAAAATCAAGGCCGGAGGATCGGAACGGTTTGCAATCGTTGCCTTTCTTTTAAAAACGAGAGGATTCCCAGAGGTATGATCGCGGTGTAGGGAGCATCAATGTCACCTATGAGGGCCTCTTCTCTTCTCTCTTGAGTGGGCGTCGTCCGGCGATGGGATTGTGGTCACTGTAGGCATCCGTCGAGATATACAGCAGGACGGGATTCGGAACCCGATGGAATTGAAGAGTACCCGGAACGTGAGAAAACTCTGTTGATGGTTCCACTAGACTGTGAGTTTAATCGAATCCAGAACACCTGATTTCGACCGAGGAAGAAGGGGGAAATGGCATTTTATCATGTATGATACATGCATCTTTGGCGCTGAAGCGCACTTTTCTGAAGAAGGGTAGTAGGGCTATGACAAGAATCTTTGCTGATCACCCTACTCAGGGAGACAAGGCGAAGGGTATCACATGTTACTTTCAGATACTACTATGGCAGCAACAAAAAAAAATTGCGGAAACGACCGTATCCCGTGAATGAGATCTCCTGATATTATGCCGAGGGGTGGTTTTTCACTGTGGTGGAGCGTTTTAGCAAAAGCTTTTACAGTTTCTGAATTCAGTCTTTGGGGGCCGGATCTGTAGTGATTTCCCATAGCATTTTCTCGTGGGCGTATTGCTGTGCGCTTTTTGAGGCCTTCAGGCTTGGACGGGTCCTCCTCCCTTGTGTCCCGTTCGTCTGGTGGTTGATTTCGGGTGTATGGAGCTTGAGTTGCTCTGGGGGATTACGGGGTTTCGACTACTTGATGGCCCGGCTATGTTCCGGGGTTGTCTTTGTTTGTAGCAATATTAGCTGTATCCTCACAGGTGTTTAAAGTTGCGTTGTCTTCTGTTATCATTCCTCTCATAGTCCTACAACGCACACACACGCGAAAGCATAGGAGACATATCACTCTAAAGTCCTTAGATAGCCCTGGAGCTCTTGTTGAGGAATTGCGTCCGTTGGTTTATACATACTGTCACGCTGGGGAGCAGGCAGAGATGTGTTGGCATAAAGGTCTATATTACTCTGCTGGCTACACTTGGTCTCACCAGGATATCCGGTCACTAGCTATGTCGAACAAATGAGGGGGGACAGATGAGCACTCAGCTAACTGGGGGGGAGGAAAGTATGGGGAATACACATTATCCCGTCGAGAAGGGACAAAAATACATATTCCCGACAGCTGTTATTTTCCAGGACTTGGGAGCAACGGTAAATGGTTTGCCTAGCAACAAGCTGCGCATTGTGCTACGCAACCGGCAATGAACTCTGGTGGTATTGTGTATCATTCAAATATAGGAGAAAAGAGGTTCTCTCTCCGATGCGGAGGGGGGGGGGGTGTTGATGGACGAGGGACTAGCATTAACTATTCATGTGCGAGCGAAGAGGGGCCAGAATCAGAACCAAAAGCGGGCGCTTGAGAAAGATCAACTTCTAGATATCGGTCACTACTTGCGAGTATAACCCACACCTGCGGGGTTTGCCATTACTGGCACTATTTCAGGAGGGGGGGTTAATGGTGGTGGAGGGTCCGTACTTCGCGTAGGGGGTTCTCGGGGTAGGTCAATGTGGATGGCTAACCTGGACTACCCGGTTACTTCGTCCATATTATCATGTTCACAAATAGTCGGGCTATCTCCTTACCAAGTTACCTCTCGCTACCTGTTTGACTGTGGGCGAGACAGGATTTGGAGGGGAGTTCCGGGCGGTCCGGGACGCGCGGCGGAAGGCCGTCGGGAATCGGTTACATTGGTAAGAGCATAAGAGAGGAAGGAATGTTGTAATACGATGCTCACCGCTTATGACAATCTTGTTTGGGGGATTTACGTCTAGCCTTCGAGTTGGGTTGTCACATAGTAGATGAACCTTAGATCATCCCCACTGGGTTTAAGTTGGAGCGAAGTGCTTTCCTTTCTCAGAACCCAAGTCTTGGAATCAAACCCCTGGAGGGGGGGCTCCGGAGAAAGTAAACCGACGCTCGTGTCAACTACCCTAGGGCTAAGCAACCTTTTTGAGTTGCTCTCCGTTTTCCTGGGCGGTCTCAGTCACCAGAGCTCACTCGGGTTTCTTAGGGTTCGAACTACAAGTCTACATGTGATGAGGGGGGGAAAAAAACCCCAGCTTCTGGAACAATCCTACGTTAAGTTATAAGTTATTGCATTGTTGAGAGGAAAAGTTTGGATTGTTCTAACAATTCAGGTTTCTATTCATATCTTCTATTACGTTAACCTAGTTAACACGTCATGTGATAGTGCATCCACCCCCCCCCCTTCTTTCCTCTCCATTCTACCATTAGGAGGGCTACTCGAGTACACCCCATTCCATTAGCTGCAGGAAAAGCAAAATGGAGAAATTGTAATCTGGTTGGTCTTCAGCCAGAAAATATCAGCCAGGTCACTGAGGAGTAGCAAAGTGGGCATTAATTCACCCGGGTCAGTAACTGTAGTAACAAATTTAACTTATCATCACGTGGTCATTACCGCCCCCTTGCCTCATATACCATGCTTCCCGTTCAGCCCCTTGCACGGAGCACTATACCACCACTCATAAATCAAGCTGGGGTGAGAACACTTTACACACTCATCGATCCTCACTCGACCCCAACAAACCTTTTCTGAGGGATACGCAGGGGGCCAAACTGCACCCGGTATACCAGGCTTCCACAATCCCTTAGATGAGGTGCACCAGGAGGTGTGGTAGCAGTGTAATATCAGGATGGTTTCGCGAGAGAGCTGTCTCTCCATGGGAGTATCGGCTCGTGAAATCGGCGTGTTTCTCTAGTTTTTATTTTTATTTTTATTTCTGCGCGACTGAAATGAGAGGTTTCGGCCAGGGGGCAGTAGTGGGCGAGTGTTGGATGGTTAAACCCCCGGCTGTAGTTCTTCGGAGGGACTGTGTGGGTAGGGTTACTATTGATTTGGGCTGTCGCGTTCACTATGACAGCAGGGTGTCTGATGGGATAGTAAATTTATGATAACGGTTGATCGTGCCGGTGCTGTATATAACGAATTTACTCGCGTACGATAATTCGGGAGACACTATCGTCAATCCTTAAAGCTTATCAGTCTAATCTCGCAGTACTTCCCTCAAACAAACTAAAGTAATGTGACGTAGGAGTAGGGACATAAACAGAGCGGACTTTCATAACGCTTTCAAATATACATAATTCGCCTGAACCAATCCCTAATTTACAAAACCTCGTTAATCCACAAAGCAGCCTTTCCCTGACCGGTTCCAATGCACACTAAATCACATTAGTACCCCCTCCACTTGCGGGAAGGATGAGATGAGGCGAACTTACTGCTAGTAACAAGCACCTTCTTCTTCTGTCTCCTCATCTCTGCCAGGCCAGTAACGACCTGTCTGGCACCAGTAGCGCCCAATGGGTGGCCAAGGGCAATACTGCAGAATGTTAATAGGCTGTTGGTTACTTCGGAGGGTGATGGCGAACGTACGCTCCGCCTCGAGGGTTAACTTTCTCCTCCTCCAAGCCCAACTCCCGCAGACAATAGACCGCCATACTAGCAAACGCCTCATTGATCTCAAAGATATCGATATCATCCTTGGTCAATCCGAACTTCCCAAGGAGCTTGGGAATAGCAAGACTTGGCCCAATACCCATGATCCTGGGCGCGAGTCCAACAACAGTGCTTCCACAGAATTTAGCAAGAATTGGCTGTCCCAACTTTTCCGCCATGCCACGCTTCATGAGGAGAACCGCTGCGCCACCATCAGTCACTTGCGAGGAGTTTCCACCGGTGGATTTATCACCCCACTCAGGGAATGCGGGGCGGATCTTGGAGAGGGATTCAAATGTTGTTCCATAGCGGATGCCGTCATCGGCGATGACAGTAACCTGCCTGACCTCGCCGGTCTTGGGGTCCTTGACTCTGGTAGTGATCGGGACGATCTCCTCCTCGAACCATCCTGACTTCTGCGCGTGCTCTGCCTTCTGGTAACTTTTCGCCGCGAATTGGTCCTGTGCTTCTCGGGGCACGTTGAAGTCTTTGGCGAGGTTCTCGCTTGTCTGGCCCATCGGTTGCAAACAGTCCTCCGCCTCTTGGCTTGCTGACAGCACCTCTGGTGCGAGGTCGAGCCCCTGCCCGGGCGCCCGAGACATGCTTTCCACACCCACAGCCAAACCGATCTCGATCGAACCGCTGCTGATTTGGTTCGCTATTCCCTGGACAGCCATCAAACCGCTGGAGCAGAAGCGGTTCACCGAGGACACGGCGGTGGTATTCGGGAATCCGGCTGCGAGTGCTGCTGCGCGGGCCTTGTATGGGATGTATGGCTCGTTGACATTCCCGACGGAAATGTCCTCTACCAACTTGGGGTCGATCCTTGATTTCTCGAGGACGTGCTGGAAGAGTTGCATTAGGAGGAAATCTACTGGGGTATCCTTCAACCCGCCCTTGAGCGCCTTTGTTAAGGGCGTCCTCATGGCAAAGGTTACCACGATATCATCCGGATTCTTTGAGGTGCTGTTATGATCACCATCAGCTTGATATTCTCTCTTGCCCTTGCACACTAGCCGGTGGGGCGAAATCTAAAGGAGGAAGCTCACACAGCAGCCAAACCAGAGGGCATCTTGAGGTGGTTGAGGATAGAGTTGAGTCTACCGGACGCCATAATTTCAGGTACAGCGAGTTTACGATTTATCGAATAGGAATGAGTCGCAGTTTGTGGTGAGATCAAAGACGCGGGTTTAAGAGTCCCGAGTGGATGGATGCCCGGGGTTATGTAGTCTATCGAGCTCGTTGCCAACCTTGTGGCAACAACCGAGGTTGCTGGCCACGGTCCCGTGTCGTCTACGGGTAGGGGACCGAGTTTCGTGGGGCCGTGAAGGTTGGGTTTTTGTGTGATTTTTATTATCCGTGATACTGCTCTAACTTTTGTATTCAGCGTTACTTTCATGCTATCATACAGTATGCTGGCATATCCCCCGAGCCCCCCCGTAACACACCCTTGTCCCACGAGCGATACTGGGGTTAGGGTTCGCATTGATAGCCGGTGGTGCCTCCCGCTCTCTTAATCACCATTATGCCTCGGTGTAATACTAAGTGGAATAATATCAATAGTTTAGGTAGAAATAGAAGGGGACTTGGGGAGACATGCTGGATTGCAGATGGTACATGGCCCATGGATGAGGTCGGTGATATGGGACCTGAGTGGCGATGATGGGTGTGCTGGACCGCGGAGCACTATAGTGTGGTCAGCCAGGATTGGAAATTGCGAATATCATGCGGAGGGATTAAGAGTTACAAGTACTCTCCCTGAGAATTGAAGACTTTGGGGGGGCTATTTCTAAGGGGTAATAGGAAATTCGGCACTGGTACAAGTAAGTTTTGCTCCTTCCTAGGGTACGGTATCGGTGATCAATGACCAGCGTTGACAACTCCTGTAAAGGTAGTAATTGGTGAGGCTGTCGGTGTAACCAGGACCGATTTGGGGTTTCCCTGATATTAATTTCGCGTTTCTGGTCCAAGCACCCTCGAGACCTTTACCTACCCATTGTCGTGGTGTACTGTACCACAGTAAGATGCCAGAGACAGAATCATTGGTAGTGTAAGCGTGCAGTACCGCCCAGTACCACGCCAAGAGTAGCCGACTTCAAATAGCAGAGTTTCCCTCCGGCTCACCCAAAAAGGCATATCCGTAACAACCTGGAAGAGAAAGTTCAGGGAATTCTCTTAGATATGCCGTCAAAGTTTGATTTATTGGTTGAATAGAGGTGGTGTTATAATGTTGTGAACATTGCCACTTTGGATGCAAAAAGCACTTCTCTGGTGACATGCCCTCAGTCTCGTATTACAAGTAGACTATACTGCACGGCAGACCCCGGGGGTTCCTGGTACCGGTGCCGCAGTAAAAACTACAGTGCTCATGACACAAGCCTGCCCACCTGATTGGCGAGGCTTCCGAAAAAATTATAACTAATCGTTTACCTGCACCGGTGCACTCCATATTCTTTAGGGGTGAACTATCGCTACCAGAGTCCCTTGGACCAGTCGGAATTACATCGCCCCTTTGAGATGAGGATTGGTAGAGCGGGCGCTACCCGTCATTTTATTGGCGTCCCTGTTTGTTGGTCATCCTAGGTCCTGGGAAGGATCTGAGGCTACTATGCAACTGGTGTATATCTTGTCCATGAACACTTTTCAGGATACTGAGCCATCTAGATGATAATATGGTACAGATAGTACACATCCCCAAGAGAAGAGAATTGTGAAAGCTAACAACGGGATCCCTGGGGGGAAGCGACGATGATAGGCGTAGTGATGGCAGTGGGAATGCCATTGACGAAAAAAAAAAAGAAAGGTAGGGCTGGCTGTGAGCCGGACAGTCTGGAGGGTGCTATGATACTTCTCCGCACCTGCTGCCGAAGCCCGTCAAGCGCCTATACGTATAACAGAAAAAGTACCATAGGGATACAGTGCCCATGGCTCACGACGGTAATCCTGTTCAGGGCGTTGCGTCCGATTTCAAGCCGCTCGTCATAAGCGGTGGGCTGGGCAACAAAAGGGTGTTGGGTGCAAAGGTATCCCGAGTGATTACGTGTGATATGAATTCCCACAGTGAAACCTCAAATAGTTGGACCGTGTGCTGGGTAGTCTATAATTTCACCTTCTGGAAAAGGGACGGAATACACAACAAAGGTGTGTCGTTAACCCCTCTGAAAGACAAAAAGACAAAACAACACCAGTCCTTATCAGAGGAGGCAACTCGAACGGCACATGGCGGCACACAATCCGATTATTGGAGATCTTGCGGTAGACATTTTATAATACACTTTAGCACCTACCCATTCTGAAGGCGTCAAAACTGCTATGATACGCACAAACCTTTTGTGAAAAAGCTATTAGATGCCCCCTATCCCTCCTCCGCCCTCCTCCTCCTCATCAAATATCTCCAACCCTGCTGAATCTTCAACCCTCCTCTCTAAAACCCTCACTAACTCTACCCTCTTTCTATCCCTCTCCTCCTTCCTTGCGCGGATATACCCCTCAACCTCCTCCTTCATCGCCGCCTTCCTCACAAGCCTCTTATGCCGCGAACTCTTAACATGCAACTCCCACATATCCCCATTAATGCAAGTGGCCCCGCACACCTCGCACGTCTTCTTGACCCACAAATCGGGCCTCGAGGAGAAGTCTTCGCGCTTAGGTTTTAGATTTTCCTCTGCCAGAGCTGAGAGGCTGCGCGGGTCCGGCAGACTAGGGTCCCCGCTAGCAAGGAATTGCTCTGCAAGGGCTAAGGCGGGGTTGGTTACGGTTTTCGTGATGGCCAAGGGATCAGTGGAGTTTAGGAGGTAGATGTGCGATGGCAGGCGGAGGGTGTTGAGCAGCTTTATGCGGATCCAGCGGGTTTGGGTGCGAGCGTATTGGCGGGTTGCGGTCTTCATGGTTTCGATGCAGCGAGTGCGGGCTTGCTCTAGCTCTGCTCGGAGTTTCTCCTTGGCCTCTTCCGGTCCTGGGTCTGGGTTTTGCTGCTGTTGTTGGCAGCGGGAGGCGTAGAGTTGTAGGTATGGCAGGAATTCTTTGAACCCAATGCTTTGCCAGATTCCCTTCGTCATGTCTACTTCCATGGAGTCATATGTCTTCTTCATCTCCTCCACCTCAATCCACATCCCACCATCGATCATTTTGTCCACCCGGGCGTCTAGGCGCTGCTTCAGCGCTTCAGCCTCGGCGTGTACCCAGAAAACTAGATTCCTATAGCGGCTCACTTCTTTTTCCGCTCTCTGGGCAGCGTAGACTTCACTTGCAGTTTGCTTCCCGTCCGTGGAATAGTATATTTGCAGGGAACGCCGGATCTTCCGGCGATCATTGGGATGCCATTTCTCCGCTATCGCCGGGTCAACGCGCTGGAGCTCCGCGAATAGCTCTGGCGTCGGAGAGTCTCTAAAACATTAGACCTCACCCGCCGATGCGTAATGTGATGGAAAGGTGGAAATACAAGATCGGATATTTAACAGCCAAATCCTCACCCGCCCCCGGCAGGAAAGGGTGCTCCTCCTCCCCTTCTATCCCAATCGAATGTGGGAACAGCAAAGATTGAACGTAATAATGGGTCCCGCCAACCACAATTGGCAACTTCCCTCTGCCCCTGATCTCTTCAATCTATCCACTGGCCATTAGTTAGCTTCGCTTCCCACGAACCGCGCGAAATATACCTTTTTCTCGGCTTCCTTCACAAACTGGCCAACGCGATAAACCTCGTCAATCCGCAGGAAACTAAACAAGTGATGCGGTATTCCGCGCATTTCCGCTACCGTTGGTTTATTGGTTATTATGGGGAGCCCAGCGTACATTTGCATGGCATCGCTATTAACGATCTCGCCATTAAAAGCAAGGGCAATATCCACCGCTAGCTATAAGCACAGCCCCTTGTTAGCCAGAGATTCCCCCACTCTTCCCTTGAGGATGGGTGAGGCGGTAATTTTTTTGGGAGGGTTTTAATATTGTGTGCGGGTACTATACCTGAGATTTACCAGTCCCCGTGGCGCCAATAACAGATATGAGTGGAGGCAGGGGTCCCACCATTTTCGCTTTTGTCCGGAAACGCAGAAGTCGCTTCAATACCTCAAACATGCAAATGTAAATGCGAATATTTCCCTGGAAATGGGTGGGGGCTAGGTAAGGAATATTAATGGTTTGCAAGGTCCGGGTAACTATCACCTAAAAACCTAAACCTAGGTTCCTACCCGCCGAGTGGGCCCCTTCTAGGCCTAGTATGATACTGTATTCACTTTCTCTCCACCAAACAGAGCATCATCCTTTACAGTTCCCCCCCACACACCCGCCCCGCTTTTCAATCACCTACACCAACAGACAGCACCTACCGCCATCTCAACTACCGAAATGGCCACAATCCCTCGTCCAAAAACTCCCATCGACGAAACCCTCTGGCGGGACCAGGTCTGGTACCGTCAATGGGGTCCCATAACTGAAGTCACGGCAATGGACTACTTCCGTATGTCTACTTTCTTCGACCACACCAGCAACAACGGCACACTCTTCCAGCAGATGCAATTCAACCCGCAATTTCGCGAGGAGCTGCGAACCCCCGAACTGTTCAACCGACGGCTGGCGACAATGACGGGAGTGGAGTACATGCTTGCTACGGGGAGTGTGGAGAGCGGTGTATGGGTTATTCGGAAGCAGCTGAGGAAGAGCCCCAGATACGATGACAACGTACGGGGGGATGATATCACAGTGTTAGCGGCCTATTATATCGTTGGGGAGAATATATACCAAGCGCCGAGTATTGGAGCGGTGCTTCAGAATCGAATGGTTGGTTTCTGCCCCGCCCGGTCCTGCCTTACCTGACCTTGCCTCGCGCTCGCTCGGAAGAAAGCAGAACTAACTTGGATGAAATACAACAGTTAGCGACTATATCCGCCCTCCGCTCCGCCCTCACTGTCGCAACAAACCTCTCCTCCTTCGTACCAACAACCTCAACCAATTCAACCTTCTCCTCGCAGGCTCCACAAACCACCACCGGCGTCGCCACATCATCCCAACAATCTATATCAGCATCCCAACCCCCTCCCTCTACACAATCCTCCACAGCCACTTCAACCTCCTCACCACCACTCGCTTCATCCTCCTACGCCACTGACCCCCGCCTACTCGCACAGGCACTAAAATTGTCACTAAAACATCACAACGAGTACATGGATGACCACGCTCCACTGCTGGGTGACCCGGCTAGCTTCTTGCAGTCGCAGCCAGGCTCGCAAAGGGGTAGTACGCCGAATTCACAGGTAGATGTCACGGCGAAGAAGCAAGCTACAGCGGTAGCGGCAGCCGCGAAGAAGGCGGGGGTACAACAGCAACAGCAACAGCAACAACAGCAGCAGCAGCAACAGCAAGGGGTAACTCAGGGACAGGCGAAGAAAAAGGGTAAGGGGTTAGGGCCGTAGGGGCTGTGGTTGTGAATTTGTGTGCGCATGCGTGTGTTTGGCGTTGGAATTTTGAGTAATTTCATGGGACCACAGTTGTTAGTTTTGAGGGTCTCCAGGCTTCGGTCTGTACGATATATGGCGCTCTTAATACTCGACTTTATACCATCACATTTTGTATACGGAGCGAGAGTCGCTATCCCCTGCAGCCCAGGTCCGTGGCTGATAGCGCAAAAACGGTTCTTATCGCGGGAGCACAAGAAAACTATCAAGCACAGTGATTCAAGACTCGAGGCACTAACCAGGGCAGCGACTCCGCCACTCCCCCAATCCCGCCATCATACTCAATAGAACTCACCCTACCATACCGCCACCATTCACAAGCACAATTACCCGTACAGGTGACGTACCCAATCCAAAGATCTCCCATTAAACACCACCCGCAACCGGCCCGCCAAAGCACAGTATCTCAGAAACGAGCCCTTCCCCCAACTCCCCTCCCTCGGGCCGTCACTCGCTACCGCCCGCTCGCCTACCAACCACTAGTTACTCGCGATCGATGACCTATCAGTCGGGAATCGAGTCAACGCGTGGTGAGCCAAGGCTGGATCCCGGCTGCGATTTGTGTCGGGCCGAGGCTTCCCGGCCGTTACACGGCTGCGCTGGGAGGTTTACCGGTATCCCACAGCGCCCGGACGAAGGGGCCGGGGCTCAGTTCCCCCCCCCCCCCCCCCAGTGCTTGAGTGGGCAGGTGGCTGGGTGTCGCGCCGGTATAGCAGCTACATGGATGGCAGTTCGAAAGCGGGATATCCAGAGTACTGTACTGTACTTTGTACTGTACAGTAGCCCCATACAAATATTTAACAGTTGAAGAAAATATCGTACCTTACGAGTAGGTTGTGTGAGCCCAATCACACAACTCCCTATCTATTCATGTTCCTTCTATATGGATGAGCCCAAAGTGGTTTTCTACCCAGTGACAAAATCTTAATTGTCTTTCAAATAACTTGGTACGTGGTGGGGCGGGGGCGGGGGCGGGGGGGGGGGGTTGTCCCTCTGAATACATTTTCAAATTTGGTGAGAGAAACCCATGTTGGACGAAGATATCTGCCCCGGTACTGTACTCTAGTACGAGTACTTTTTATCGCCAAACCGAAACTGGTGTGTAGCTTAGATGGTGAAACAGCCGTGCACCTATCCGTCCAGGCCACCACCATACCACGGGAGTGAAAAAAAATAGTGGGACAACGGCATTTCACACCAAAAAAAAAGGGTGTTTTGGAATGATCAACCACAAAAGAGTATTTAAAATTTAAGGTATTGCATAGGTAGTTTTAATCATCTCTGGGAATTCCCTACTTAGCTTTTAGAGAGTTCTTGTTGGCTCAGTCTCCACCTATGACAACCGGAATCAAAATTACATGCCAAGCCACTCCCAAGTAGGTATTTTTTTGGTGAGGAAACAACAAGATTTTTGAGTTGTGATTCTATTTGGAATAACTGGTCATGCAAAAATGATATCTGCAATCCTTAAACAAAGAGAAGCAAAGCAGGGAAGCATTAGGACCAGTGTATGAAATCATCTTCATCCCAATCCCAAACTCCTGGTTGATATCACCATACTGATGTGAAGCTGGCTTTGTCCCACTATTTTCACTCGTACGATACCGTAATCAAAATAGATTGAAAATGCATACACAATCAATTCTAACCTACCAAAATGCTTCAGACTCCGTTCTGGAGGCCACTAATCTAGTTTCCATGCAATAATAACAAAATAAAACCCAGACAAGAAAAATAGCAAATACTAGCTCGGACGGGTGAAGTGAGAAATGGAAGAGATTAAAGAGAAAAAAACAGAAAAAACAGACCTTCCTTTCCCCCGCACCCAGCTCTGCTGAAAAGAAAAGAGAGAGAGAGAGAGAGAAAGACTCCACATCAATCATTAAGTTTCTTTCGCCCGTTCGCATTACACTCGTCGCACCGGGGCCAAACGTAGGATAAGCAGATAACCAATCAAAACTTGAAAGCAAAGATAAAGACAAAACATAACAGGGATTACCTGAATCTAAATTTTGATACTCACTCATCACCAAATATTCCATAATCCAGCGCCTGTACCACACCCCCACCAACACCCCACTGCTCCATCTCGGTGAAAACCGCCTTCATCCACCTCAAGTATCTCCACTCAAGGCTCTCCAAGCCCTCTGTTTCCTCATTCCTAACCTCCCACTGGACTAGCAACCCTAGCAACTCATACCTGAAAGCCTCAATAGGCTTGACAACCATGTCTTGCGCAAAGACCTGATTCGGACTACCTTCAAGAGCATACGCGTGCCAGAGGTACATTTCCTCTTGGGGAGAGGGTGAATTTTCCACGCGGACAATGATCTCCCAGACTACCATCAACGCTTTAAATATTAGGACTGTGACGATGGGGAACTCGGTGTTGCGGGCGTTCTCATCGTAAGCTGATTGTGGAGCAAGGAGAACTCGGAGGAGGGAGAGAAGGTGTGAAAGGATATTGGATTGGTCAAGGACGTGCATAAAGTGCTGGAGGGTTGCGGGGTTGTTCGCTGCCACGCGGGCCTTTGCGCCCTGAACTGTGGACGCGAGGGCTGTGTAGAGGTCCATTGGGACGTCCTTTTTGTGAAGGACCATGCGGTCTGGGATCACCAGCTGGACAAGAGCAAGATGCATGAGGATGTAGAATTCTTTCTCACAACCCTGAAGCGCAGAGGCCAAAAGAGTGGGGCTGGAAGAGGCATAGGTAGTCACTGGAGGGAAGACCGTGAGGTGCTCGGCGTATGGGGTGAAGAGATTGCCGATGCCAGATATTAAACCCAGGGTGGTCAGACCCATTCGTAACTTCTCGAGACCCTCCTGGCTTTCCGGAGCAAAGACGTCGACACCCTCCCATGCGGCACCTTCTTCCAGGGGTAATATCCCAGTCTCGTACTGGGCGTCTATGTCATCGGCAACCTTGCGAGTCAAGTCCAGAATTTCCATTTGGATCGCGGTCGCTAGAATCAATGCGGAAAAATTGCTTCCGAGACCGCCAGCGTCCAAGAGTTCGTGATGGCCATTGCCATTGAGCAGAATACGAAGGGTCTTGAGGAATAGGGGAGGAGGGACCATCCTAGAACCATGGATGCGCATCGTGTAATATTTCTGATTCCACGCCTGAGCAGTTGGGGCTTCAAACAATTGAGCGTCACAAGGCAAGGGGAGATTCCTAAGCTCGGTATGCCGGAGTAGCCGAGGGGTTTCAAACGCAAAAGATACATAACAATCCACAAGATAAATTGTGAATGCCACCCTAAAAATGTCAATACCAACATTCGGAAGACCCCCGGTGAAAATGCCATACCTCTTCCTGGACTCTCTCTCAACAAATATCTTCCATTGCTGATCAGGCGATAGCTCCTGGGGGATGTGCCCAGGGACAGGATTAAAGTACTCGTAGTCCCTCGCAATCTGCCAATCCAGTCAGCTTCGTAATTTATCGAGTGATACACAATGATCGCATACCTCGATAGCCCTAGCAAGTAGAACCCTACCCTTCTTATGCTTCTCTTTCTCCTCCGAGAACAGCCCATAAAAGGCAAACAGTAGCAGACCTTGTAATACGCAGAGCGTACCCTCCCGCTGACTTCTATCGGCATACTTCACGGATTGTCTATCTCCATCTCCAGCGCTGGACGAAGGAGGATAGGGATGTGCCATTGCTTGGGAACTCTCGGTTTTCACCAACTGGGGAGGGCTCATGCTAGGGGGAGGTTCTTGATCACCTCCATCGTCGGGGCCCCTCTCAATCCACCTTTCCATAACTCTTCACACCAATCAGCATGTTACGGAAATATGTCAACTCGGAGTGCATACCGAAGCCCTGCCTCCCATAACTGCTCCCTAAGCGTCTGGTTTGTCGGATCATAGCGTCCGCCAAGCGCACACACGCTTCTGAGAAAACTCGCCAGAACGGTCGTGGGTTGGAAAGTGGGCTTATGCAGCAGTGGGAGAAAGGGATGAAAAGCCGTGGGGGCAAAGTAGTAATCCGCATAATGGGAAATTACCTCTGGAGGTAAGCTGCAAAAATTAGCATGGCACTAGCGAAGCTCAGGGTGTTGTGCGGTACTACAAGGGGAGTTTCCCGGGAGTATAGTAAATCCTAAGCCCATCTACTGGTTTTTTAGGCAACTAAAACATATTAGCGGTACGAGCAGAACGGGGGAGAGAGAAGGAGGGGCACGTCATCGGCAATAGGGAAGCGCCTCCAGAATTGGGACGTCAACTCCTCCACACCATCGCGGGGCTCGTCTTCCGGGTCATTCTGACCCGCAGAATGATGCTTCTTCTGATGTTTTGCGAGGTTATCACTGATCACCGTAAGCATCTAGCACGACCACGATAACCCCAAGCGAGATAGCACCCATAGCAAGCCCCCACGCAACAGGACATTTCCGGTGCAACTGTTCATTTTGCTGCAGAGATCCAGCCTCACAATGGAGAGCTCCAATCTCCTTTCCGGTGGGTAGCCCCATGTCCGGATCCCAGTAAACAAACGAGTAGCACGGGAGTATCCGGGAGCGCACGGGCAGCAAAGGGTCCAAATCGCCGGAGTGCGAAACCATAAGAATTAGAGAAGTCATACGGTCTCGTGAATACCAATTTACATCCCGGAAACGTACAGTTCAGGACTTTCTTCGTGGAGTGCTCTGCATCATCACCATCATCAGTGGCCCTTCATTCACCCTCCGCGCGGCGGGCAAGAAAAGGTAGCTCACTATTAAGCTTATGTCTATTGTTGTTATACTGCGGATCAGGGTTTAATCAGCTATCGGGTCCATGAAAGAGATCACGGGAAAGAGGGAGTTGTTGTTTTTTTCCCTCGGGTTCGGGTAAGCTAGACAGTTTCCCGGGAATTGGAGTTTTGACTCACTCTCGTGGACGACCTCTCATTGCACGTTTCGCACTCATAAGGCTTCGTCCTCCGCCATTCACGTTCATCTTCCTCCGTCCAGTTTCCCCTTGCCCTCTCCTCGAGCACATCCTTAAGTTGAATATCTATCCAACGCCTCAGCCGCAGCGCCTGGGAAACTGCACCGGTGCCAGGACCCCTCGATCCCGAAGCCACCGAGGGGCTCTTCCGACTATTCTTCCTCGCCATGAATGGCGGGGTGGGGATGATCTGGTCTGTCCGTGAATATGAAGGGGGAGAGGAAAGTCGAAGGAGAAAAGGAGGGTTTTTTCCTTTCGAATTTGAACTTGGGTTTGGGTGTGGAGTTTATCTGGTCCGGGTTGTTTAGTTAGGTTGCGTGTTGATCGTTGCCAGGGAGGGTCAATAGCTTCTTTAACATTGAGGGCGCTGCCACGGCTTGCAGCCTTTTAGGTACAGTACTAGCACAGTACGAGTACGGTGGAACGAACCCTCTACGGTCCTCCAGTACGAGCCCCAACACGAAAGAGCTCGTCCGCCCGACATGAAAAACAGCGACGACATCATGCATTGATGGCTTCTTCCCTTTCTTACTTTTTTCTTTTTCTCGTCTTTTTCAGATTTTAATGTCAACCCTGATCTCGAGACTTCCTGGGTCCCGGACCCTTGTGGGGGGGGAGAGGCTGTTTGTTAAATTTAATCAGTGCGTGTGTGGGGGGGGAAGGGAATGGCAGGAGGGGGTAAGTTAGAAGGGTAAAAAAAAGGAGAGGATGAGAGAGGATGGATAGATAGAGGAGGATGAATAGGGGGATGAATGGAGGCGTTGTGTGCGAGCAAGCGAAGTGGAAAAGATGAATAGGTGAAAATGGTCAAACCGAAATCGGGGGGGGGGTTTTTCCTCTCCCTTTCCTTCCCTTTTCGAGGGCGGTTATTGGGGTGCTTCGTGATAGGACGGATAGGCATTGTTTTGTCCTGGTTTGAGGCTGAAGATAATGGGATAAGCCAGATGTATGGCGGATCTGGCGGAATGCGGGGGGGAAAAAGGATTGTGCAGTTATCGGCTTTCTACCAGTACTCGAGTACTCGAGTACCGGTATTTGAGTGGTGTTCTCAGGTAGAGTACGAGTACAGTATATACAAGTAGGGTGCAGCACAGTACCTTACTCGCATCAGACATTACGGTAGGCCACCATACCGGTGCACCACTCGCCAAGTTAACTCCCACCTATTACTTGTCCTCCATCACCAACTTCACCGGTACACCGTACCGCTTACCCCGTAATCAGAAGCCAGTTCCGTAGATGATTGGTGTCTCCTTCATATGAATACCGTGAAGTTAAGAATTCAACCTCTTCAATCAATCTCTTCTTTGTTCTCCACAGAGATTGTTAAAAAGAAAATCTCCCCCCGAAAAACTTGTTTTCCTAGCAATTATTTTCTTTTTCCCCCTAGATCACTCCAGATGAAGCTTTTTTCTGTTAATGTGTTCTTTTTTGATCACCTTGAGGGACAGAGCGAAACCGTTCACCCCCTTTCCCCGCATACACCACCCTGATAAGAACACACTCGAGTTCGGCGATTATCCTTCCCCCCATTTCCCTACAAACGAGCGGACAAGACGGACAAGACGGACGAAACGGACGAAACGGACGAAAGAGGGGAGAGAAAAGGAATAGGAGAGGAAAGAGAGAAAACATCTGCAACGTTAGACCATCTCACCTCGCACATCGAAATCCACAACCCGGGACTTTACCGTATCACTCCAATAACCCGGCATCCTTATATCAGTCCAGTGAGCACAACCCTACCACGACGCGGAAGGAAAAAAAAAAAAAAAAAAAAAAAAGATAATACGGTAAAACATTTGAGGAAATCCCCTATCGAGTTCCCGGATACCGGTAAGCCAGACAGAATAAGAAGGCCAGCCAGCCAGCCAGCCCCACCAACGCAGCTGCAAGCACAGCATTTCGTTATCAGAGATAAGAATACCCTCTTCAGTGGTACGCCGGAACCTTCCTTCCTTCCATGACTACCCTATCCATATCTGCCTACTCTACCTGCCCTGGCCTTGACCTCACCCTAGCTATCATTTTGCTTGATTACTTGCAAAACAACACAGCTAACCCCCTTAATCTCAAACAGAGTATTATTATTTATTTTTTTCTTTTTTATCCCCCCTCCTCCTACCTATCTCCAATCCTTTCGAGAGTTTCCTCTCCGAGAAAGAGGAATATTCCATATATACATTTATATATCAAAAGAGGAGCACCCGGCCAATCAAGAAATGATTCACCAAAACAAATCAGATGCCATCAGCCGGTCGATCACTACCAACGACTCGTCCGAAATCATGGCGATTGCAGCGTCCCCACGATAAGGGTAACATTGCAAAAGGCGATCAAGAAAAGTATCAGCATAAACTGTAATTACCGCCTCACCCCCCTCCCCCCCCCCCTTCCCTCTGACCAGCCAACCACCCCTACCCCTTTTATCAATGGCACAGCATTGAATGGTAATAACGGGCGGAACAACAGTCTGAAAGCCGTCCAAAACTTCGTTATAGGCGGGAATCAGCCAAATCTCGATATAATCGCAATCTCTTTTGAGCATAAATGTTTCAGCGAGGCCAGAAACAGAGTACTCCCCTCCTCCCCCCTCCTACAACCCCCTCACTTTGCATCCTCGTCATCACCATCGTCATCACCATTGCACTAACGCTGACATGTGTGAAAAACTACAAAGGCAGAGTACATATCTGCGATAAACGCCAAACTCCGCGAATGGAACTACGACGACATATCTGACGATGATACCGCACCCTCCTCCTCCCCACAGCCCAGCGTCAAAAAGCAAAAAACGATCTCCCCGTCACCACCCTTACCCACTGCCTCCGCCAGCACCATAACGAGCAACGCGACTACCACCACCACCTCCACCAATACCGCCTTGTCCTCATCGCCGAGTCAGCCCTCTAGCCCGCCGTTGCCACTACCCTCACATCCGATGGAGACGATCAAGACCATGACCACGCATTTACCCACACCTCCCCAAGGGAAGATCCCAGGCGGGGGAGGAGGGGGAGGGGGAGGGGACTTTGTGCACTTGTTTGATCCAAAGGTGCTCGACAAGATCGATTTGAACGATCCGGCGAGACGCGCGGAATGGGTTGGGGCAGTATGGGAGTACTTCAATGGTGGGGGCAGGTGGGGCTCAGGGCGGCGGGACGGGGAGAGAGAGGATGGTGATGAGAGCATGGTGGACGGATGGGATCGAGATGGGGGGTGGGTGTGACTTTACTATTATCGTGTGTACTTCTATCCAGGAGAGATAGCGGCCGGGGGGGTGTTTCGGTGACTTTATATGGTGGATACCTGAAATTGATTTTTTTGTACCCATTTTTTATACTCTATTCATTTCGAAACGAGAAAAGAGGAGGAGGAGAGAAAAAAGAAAAAAAATCTATGATACTTATCTCGTAATTTAGCTGAAGACCTAAGTCATCCATCACAAGCTACAGGTATTTTGCAAAACCATATCTGATGACATATCACATACCGAGTGATAACCTATGTACCCATCACTGAACACACTATCATACTTGGACAAGGTGTCCAACCAATACTACAGTGGGTTTGGGTTTCTACCAGTGGGGACGTGACATTACTATGGTATCCACGCTCACGCTAATATTATCACTTGGAAAGAAAAAGAAAAAGTAAAGAAGACCAAACCTATGAAAAACCGGGAAAAGAAACGGGGGGGAGGGAAAGAAAAGATATTTTTAAGCTAAAAACAGAAACAAGACAAAACAGGACTGGACCAAAGCTGTATGATAACACACTCCATACATCCAAGCCATTCCCATAGCAGAACGGGGGGAGAGGGAAAAAAGCAAATAGACATACTACTGGTATGTAACTTGAGAGGTGGAACAAAAAAAATGTAAGCAAATCCCCAGCTAACCAACGAAACAAAACGCATGTGTGAATGGAACCCTTTCTGTGAAAATGTGAAAATGAAAGTGAGAATGAAAGTGAAAATGGAAGCGAGAAAGAAAAAGGTAAAACATTACACCTCGGCATACCACCTGAACAACAAACAGATATAACCAGCCAGTGATTAAGGCAGCGCCGGACCTAGGAGCTGGTATTATTCCCTCTGTTTTCAATTTTCTTTCTCTCCAGAGCTGAGCAAAGGAGGAGTGAGTAGTTAACAATAGCGAAACCAAGGGATATGATCGATAATTGACAACGCGAAACGGGATGTAGATAGCAAGATGTGCCCGAGATGAGAATATCGCGTATGCGGGATCAAAAGGAGTTTTTTTTTTTTCTTTTCATCCCCCCCTCCACCGGGTGATCCGTCTGTCCGTCCAGACCGACACGGACAACCTGGAAAACAAAAAAGTGTAAAAGTAAAAATTACCCACGAAATTGGGAAAGGGTGTAAAAGGAGAAAACTCAGAACCACTCGTTATAAAATTCGGATAAGATGCGCCCCCCCCCCTCCCCCTGCACCCACACGTTCCCTCCAACACAGTAACTCCAGAAAGTAAGAAAAGAGCAGACTAGCGTTTCCGCATAGCCCGACGCTTCCTGGTTACAGGTGCCTTTTGTTCCTCCGGCCCTTTTTTAATATCGTGTCCGTCACCAGGGCGAGTCTCGTCAACTGGAGATACGTTCTTGGCGGCCTTGGACAGGGGAGAGCGATGGTTGCTTCTCGAGGGCTCCATTGCAGGCGAACAGTTTCTGATTAACGACTTTTTAACCTTTTCCTCTTCCCCCTCCGGCACCTTTTTGGTAATGTGTTCACCACCGGGATGTGTCTCATTGAGGGGTGACTCGCTCTTTGTGCTTTGGGCCAAACGGGAGGATTCCGGTGCCTTGCGTGAATGGGATGCAGCAGCCTTCTTTCCTTCTACTGAGGGGCCGCCCCCTTCGATTGGCGGCAAGTAGACTAGGAAGAACTGGGCCCGGAGAAAAAATAGACTCCCTAGCTCATTTCCTCCACGCAGAACAAAAATATTTTTGAAAGAATTGCCATTGGGAGGCTTGTCAGGACCTGTGCCATTTTCTTCGAGAAGGATGCGTTCAATTTGGCCAGGGGAATGGACATCATGCATTGTTTTGTCCTCGACACCAGCGACAGGTCGTCTCATTTGGGCCGGAGGGTAGGATAATTGCATAACACCAGTTGCCTGATCAATGGCCGTGACCTGTAAATTGAGGGTGTTAGCCCTACAGTAGTTGATGATAAACGGATAGGACTCAAAGGGGACAGGCATACAATAGCGTGTTTCTCAATAAGGCTGTAACCAGCAAATTGACGTTTCAAGCAAAGGGTGTCATTAACCCTGATGACATGATGTCGGGCCATAGTGGTAAGTTTGATGGACGCTGCTTGTCCCGCTAGGGCCGGGTTTATGACCTCCTTCTTTTGTCCCCAGAAGGACTCCATGGCACGGTCCTTCATGAACCGAAATTCGTCATCCGCCCGACGACGCATGATTGAGTCAATCTGGTCACGGAATTTTTGGCTATATTTGCCTTGCTCAAGGCGTTCTCCGATAGTACTCAACTGTGTTCGGAATCGGGTGTCATTCCAAAATGGCGGAAGAATGTCCAAGTCCAGCGTACCGTTTGGGTGGCCAGATTTGCTATCATCAATCTCTTTATCAAATCCTGGCAGGAGGGTGTACAGTTTACTTTTTTGCTCGTTAGTGAGCAAGCCAAAATTTTCGGGAGTGACGAGACTCTGCAAATGGTCAGCTTGTGAAATGCTGATCTTCAGGTGAAAAAAGTGCGTACCTCAAACCGGCTCACCAACGGGTTTCTGCGCTCAATGACTGGTGGAACCCACGGCTTCTCAAGGTGCTCCTGACAGCTGGGAGTGATTTGTCTCTCCGTTGTTCTTTCCGGTTCAGCGTCAGATGCATTATTAGCAGGCGGAGCCACAACTTCAGAAGCGTCTGCAGCCACAATTTCAGGAGCATCTACAACCACAACCTCCGAAGCATCTACAGCCACGTCCTTTGATTCAGCCGTATCTGCGATGGCCCTCCTTAGTTTCTTGCCATGCGAGGCTGTTGGCGAAGAGACGGAGACCGCCTTTCTCTTGTTCCCTCCTTGAACCCGAGGGGAAGAGCTGGGAGCGGGCTCGGGGTTGGGTACGGTAGAAGGATCTTGGTTAGCGGTTGTTAACCTCTCTGCGCCAACAGCCGCAAGAGACTTTTTAGTAGCTATTCTACTTGACGAACGGCGTGACATAGAATCCATAGTTTTAATCTGTGAATTAAAGTTAGATTATCTGTTTTGTGGAAATTGAGCGTCCGGTGGTGTCAATAATCCGACTGATGAGGGAGATTGATGTATTGGGGAGACACCACTAACGGCAACTCGGGCGATTAGATGAGATCGCTGCAGTGTTAGGAAAGGAGGTCGCAGGTGATTCAAGCTAGGAATGGGGACTCGTTAGACCACCCTTATATCACCGAAGGGAATGGAAACATACTAAGCCCTGGCCCTGACACGACACAATAGGATGGCACGGGAGAAGGTCCGATTGAGAAAAAAAAAAAGCGGAGGTGACCGGAGCACCTATCTGGCGCCGCTGTGGAATATATATATATATATATCGGGCGAGGTAAGGTAGAGTACAGTGGGAACAAACTGAAACAGGTAACAAAGTTATCCGCCTTCCGTTCTGTTTGTGTATGCGTGGAGAAAGTGCGCGTAGTCGAGGGAGAGCGAAGGATGCGAGGGGGAAGTCGAGAGGAGGGAAGTATAGGCTGAAACAGTGAGGACTGCTCGTCGGGAGATGAGGGGGGGTATGGGAGAGAGCGGTCCTTGGGAAACCTAAGGCGACGGGAGGACGATCGTCACAACGCGTGCGCCTTGCGGCTCCCCACACTAGACAAAAATTACCCTAACCCTTGCCGAGACTTGGCGTTTTTTTTCCCGGACCGGTTGGCGTTCCCGCTGCGTCCCGGGAGGGCCCTCCACTGAAAGATCTCCTGAGACCTACTTGTCCAAGTGCTGTGGCACAGAAGTGAGGCGGTGTCATACGTAATAAGCGCCCCTTTCACTGCCCGATAGCACCATAAATCTAGTATGGTGTGCGCTACTCTTATCTCGTACGACGTTCGCTGAATAACTGGCGATGCAGTGGAGTTAGAGTTTGCACAGAGTAGCCTCGCGCGCCAGACCACAGGGAGGCGATCCTTGTGGCGTGGTGACCTAATGCGCCACAACCCTAAGACCGAGTTACCACAAAAGCAACTCGACCTGCTCTCTCCCTGTTGGCCTGGTGTACCGTATTCGAACAACGAGTGCGGCCGATAGATAAATTAGTCACGTGAATTCTGGTCCTAAAGCAGCATGATAGCAACACTCAAGACAATCATAAATTCCTCATCAAGACAGTATTCCATCGCTACCGGCAATATCCTCAAAGCTGCACTTTCAGAATAAAAACAACCTGAAAGGATTTTTATTTTTTCATTCTCTTTGTATCTAGCTGTGATGGGTCACACATGGGTAGCAGCTGAAACCCTATTGGAAATTCATTGTGCAATCCTTATACTCCACCTCTTTACTAATATGACTTGGATTGAGATATCAAAATGTCTTCTTATTAATCCAGTCACAGCACAAATAATCTGTATAATAACAAAGGCCCGGGGATTTATAAAAAAAAACTTATCTTAAATTAGTAGAATATTGAATATGATGCTACTTAGTAAAGTTCATTTGCTCCATACTAAGAAGTAGAAACAAGCAAGTGATTTAAATAACTTCTAGAATCTCTATACTATATTTTAAAATCTCAATTGTCCTGGTCATCAAGAGGATATACCAGAGGGCTCAGAGGCATCTCTTGTCTTGAAACCTTTCCTTATCTTGCAAAAGACCTTAATATTAAGACTGCTTATTTAATGATAGAACAAGTACTAGTAATACATAACTATTATAATATATAACAATTTCAATCTATATAGCCCAAGTGTAACAGGTAGGATCAGGGGGTCGGGTAGCCCAAGGTATACGATAGTCGAAGCAGACAGGAGTTTAGAGGTGAGGTCAGGTTATGGGTGTACAACCGAGCCCAGTGGTATGAGGTTTGGGATTCAGGGGTACAGGGTCAGAGTTCATGGGTTCAAGAGGACATGAAGTAGAAGAGAGGAGTAATTCCTAGGTACAGGTGTCTGGATTCAATCAAAGTTTATTTATACTTGTTGTACCAATCTGGCATATGATGGAGTGCCACCCTGACAGCACTGGCAGCCTAACGCTTGTCGGGATCCACCAATGGGACTGGGGTCCTGCTATCCCTGCTAAAAACAGGTGACTAAATACGAGAAACTAAACCTCTAAACCCAAACCGTCAACTACCTCCTGTGAGTAAGCCAATATAAAAGACTAAAGTACAAGTTTATCACCAGTCCAGTACCCACCTGCACCACCTAGCCAGGCTATAGAAAGCCCAACCAAATTAAATAAAACACTACTACTAGCAGTACTGCTGCAGCCTTATAACCCACATCCAAAGGTGCAATCATGAACAAAAGAAACCCTTTTCCCAGAACCCTCTAGCAACCCAAGCAAGCATTCAGATCGCATGGTGAAGAAGAGCTGTGACACCTTCCTCATCTACTAGTTTTCTAGACTTCTTTCTAAAATAGCCGTTCTAAGCTACTGTTACACATAAAAGCGTAATCGGTGCGGCACGTGACTAAATGCATAAGGTCACGTGTTTGACTCCGGGCCCCGCCGTAGTTATTGTAACGATATCATATTATGGCACGGAACAATAAGGCATCTATGCAGCCCGCTCCGCGGAGATACGAGGCATGTGACCAAGGGGTTTTCACTGGATAACATAGAAGGAGCTGCGCTCTACAAGATAAGACTTAGTTGGTTCAGATTGGTTGGTTAGTTATTGAGCTACGACCTCTGCAAGTCTATATGCAATTACAAGAAGTAATATGCATGTCCCTTCAGCTCGCGTAAGCTAGAGTCATCCGGAAGACCTAGTTACAATTGGTTAATAACAACTCACTGGTCGAGTTAGTTATCTTCGTCATGCACTCTAAGCTATGCACATATAAGAGTCATTGATAAGTCCTTTGACGGAGCTGATCACTCTACTCAGGAAGAGAGCGGGGAAGTTAGTTTTCAGGGTCAAACGGAGTTCACACTCCAAAGACACTGAAGCGTTAGTATGGCAGGTACATAGTCAGTAAGGGATTGGATGTAGGCCGCGACCACCCAGACGCGAAATGTAAATATCGAGGTGCCTCCCTAGCTTTAAGTCCATCCTCCGTCTCCGCTACACCTCCGGCGATTGAAAACTCAACACCACGGTTTTCATCGTGAGTTTTTTGTTTCATCGCAAAACTTTCTCCACCCTCCCGCCCACTTCTGCCTTTGGCCTCGGCCTAGGGGAGTCTGGCTCCTCTCTCCTCTCACGCCCGGGGTATTGACTTCGGTCTACCGTCGCAGGGCCCTCTCTCTCCCTGGGGGTTGGTCGGTCGGAGGCCCTCCTCGGCTGGCTAGCAGGTGGTGGGATCCCTTCCACTACAGTGATGCTATCTCTCCCAGAACAAGGGACTAC